AGTGTACCACCTGGGGTTGTCATACGTGCCCTAACATCGCACAGCGCATTGGCGTCTAGCATTTTGCTTCCGCTGAAATGCAACCGGCACTTTCGGAATCGAACCCGCGTCTTTAACGTCAGCAGCTAGTATCATGACTACTGAGCCATCGCGGCAGCTCTGAGAGAGGCAGTGATAGAGAGTAGACAAAAAAGACGAGAGAGAGAGAAGTATTTTAATGAAAGCTGAATATTATAGCCTGGTAGCTTGCCAAGTGCATTGCATGCTATTCTGTGGTATAAATGCGTACGGTGGAGAAAACAAAATATAATTAAGCTTTAATAAAATTGGCGGTGCATTATATACTCATTGAAGAATAAAAAAAAACAAGGACACGTGCATTATAAACAGAAAGATACGTGAGCACAGTTGAATTGCACAGCTATCGATGAAGACATTTGGTCATAAAAAGCGCGCAGCAGTATCAAGGAGCGAGAACACTGCCGGCAGCTCCACCACGTTGCGCCACCTCAGTTAAAAGCTCATATTGCAGCGACTATTCCCGTACACTGCACCTCGTTGTATAATGCGCTCATTTAACGGAGTAAGCTGAGCTGGCTGATTTCTCAGTAGGGTATATTGCGTCTCATGCTGCTTTACGTGGGTCGAAGTCAAACAAGATGCTAGCTTCATTAAAGCGGCATATGTTGAAGACATTATAACGCTGCGAAACACAAGCCCACTTGATTTCTAAGCACCTGAATTGACCATGACACTACAGATGTGCAAGTTAAACTAATTTTAACATTTAATTTGAACATTCCATGGTAAACACAATCTTGAGGTGTGCAATTAATTTATAGTACATGATGCTATAACTTATGTAGCTTAATTAGTCTTTGTGCATAATTCTGCGAGAGTGACAAAATGAATATATCATAGCAAAGCTTGAATATCATTTTCAGTTTAGCTTACCACTACGTCACGTTCACATAAATGGTAAAAAAATGTGTAAACACAGTAACTTCGTGACAAAAACCTAGTAAAGTACTTGCAGTTCTGTTTAATCGTATAACTCCACTGATGAACCTCGACCATAGTTACAGCTCATTCGCATAAATTTCATAGTACCACAACTCGACTTTGGTTCAACGTTGGCTCTGTAAAAGTATAAAAGAACTTGTTGTGAAGGCTATACGTTGCTATGTTGTGGTGTTTTCAAGACGGAAGTTGTATGCTTGATTGCCAGCCTCGAAATAATCCTAAAATATTTGAATAGAACTTTGTTTATTGCTGCGGATACATAAAGATAAGCGAAGCGAAGCACAAGGCCATTCGGTCTGTCCGAGTTTTATCCCGTGCGCTTTTTCGGGACGCGTCAAACCCTGCAAGATATGTTGCGCCCAATGTACCATACATGTTATGCCCAGCTTGACGCCTCCATGTACTGATTTTAGCGCAAGATTTCACACAAGATCCATAGTTCCAATTTTTATTAACTGGATCGAGGTTTCAGCACCTTATTTAAGCATTAACCAGTTAATTATAGCAGTAGGTTAATATTTTAATTCACATAACATATGAGTGTTCTTTTTTTCTACAATTAACGTTCCACGACCGGAAATTAAAAATGGGCAGATTATCCCGATTTTTCTCGACCAAGAGCTGCGCTCAGGTCTTTGCAGCACGTCAACGTATAGTTATGCAGCTCGCAACTTCATGCGTCCCTTTGCAGTCATAAACGCCGGGATTGCCAGTGAAAACACGAACACGTCCACTCCCTTTCGTGTCACGGGGCGCGTCAACACCAAATGCAAGGCAGCTCGAGCACCTACTCGAGCGGCCACTCGAAGCTCGGGCCGTGCCTCGGTGCTGTTTTCGTGGTAGACAGAAGCAGAAAACACACACACGCCAGGAAGAGGAATGTGGACATTGCGGACGCGAGGTGCATGCGACATGCGCGGTAGAGACGTGCGTGCGTGCGTGCGTGTGTGTGTGCGTGTGTGTGTGTGTGTGTGTGTGTGCGTGTGTGTGTGAACCCACATGTCTCAGCTACCTTTCTTTTTAGTCGTTTATTTGTTTGTTTCTCTCGCGCACGCCCCTGTCGTTTCCAGGGCCGGCACGTCTTGACCAACGGCGGGCTTGTTTGAACAGCCGGTGGCTTTGGACTGTCGCCGTTGCCCGGACTGTAAACAAGACCGGAAGAAATCCAGGCGGTCGGTCGGCGACGCGAGCTTTCCAAGGCGCGGGCTCGATTGCGCGGCAGGAATTCAATTTGCAGGAGTGGTGCCCAATGATATCGCGCGGGGCGACCGATGCCATCGTCTTCGTCGTCGCGTAGGTGATGCACAAACACTTCGCAGAAAACGTGCGCGAACCCCTCTTCCTGAACTACGATGAATAAAAAAAAAATCTGATACGATGTTTTTATACTCCAATGCGTATAGGAGCGACGTTCGCCAAAGGATGGCATACGCAGTTGATGGACATTCCGTGGTACGGATTGGGTAAGTGCCCCCTGTTGCTTTACCCTGTGTGACAACGAAAGAAGATACCGAGTAGAACGCGAGACGTGCTCGATAGGTACTGCGTTGCGCGTAGATGACAGTCCGCAGCACCATGTGGCTTGTTCTTGCGCAATGTAAAACACGGGAAGGTGCCCGCATGACGGTGCTTCAGCTGCCTTCTCCACCCTGACAGCCTGAAGATCCTAATATCAATGGTGGCTTTTGTTAACTCTCATTTTTACGTTACTGTCAAGTGGATTTAGAGGGCTGGAGCTTCAAACAATGCTTCAAACAGCGTGCCACAAATACACAAAGAAGAATTGATGACAAAAGCGCATACTATCAACTGTGGTGTCAGGGTCACTAGTTTTTCTTTATGTATTCGTGTGTGTGTGCTGCTTGATGATCAGCTGTACCAACTAGTCCCTTGCCTTGCTGCTTCTAGAGCTGTGGTTTTCTCTAGTTTACAAATAAGACCACATTTAACGTCGATTAATTGTGGCTATATAGCTTAACGAGGCGATAATTGCGAGACCACGGGAGACGCTATAATCCGCCTAGTCAATACCTCCCCCCACCTCTCCTCAAATAGGTGCTTGTGAAAATAAGGCTAATAATAAATACCGCCCCTTGTAAACCACTTTCGCCAGTTGTTATTCCATTGGAATAATACGTAGGTAGCCCGAAGGTGAACGTGCCTACGTTCTGCTAGTCGTTATAAAGTTATACGCAAGCCGCAAATTCCAGCCAGAGTATACGCGATCCCCCATTTACACCGAAGTGTTGTAAAAGCGAAGAAAAACCCAAACTGACCAAGCCTTTCTACAAAAATGACGATTTCTAGCTTAGCAATTAAAACAAATGTCATTTTGAAATAAATATGCCATATGTTAATTAATCAATATTTCATAACTACAGCGCGTTATTGGTTCTATTAATGGTGCGCTAGACATGCCGTTCTTCGCCCGATGAGTTTTGATAATAAGCGCCTCCTCTAGCACGTTTATAGATACGACAAGCCCAGCTATACTTGTGATGTACCACTCTTTCACGCCTCGTGACAAATAGAGAAAGAGAGAGAAAGAGAGAAAAAGACGCGCAGCGCGTAATCGAAGGTGTCGTCATGTGTCAAATCACCACGCGCATGCGCACTCACACTCACTCACGTAGCCACGATGAGCGAGCAGTTCTTGAGCTCGAAGCTTTCGTGCTCCGCTCACTTTCCACGGTTAACATTTCAGTCAACGCCCCGCCGCGGTGGTTTAGTCGCTGAGGCTGCTAACCCGCAGGTCGCTGGATCGGATCCCGGCTGCAGCGGCTGCATTTCCGATGGAGGCGGAAATTATGAAGGCCCGTGTGTCCAGATTCAACCCAGAGCGTTTTTTTCAAAGAAGCATGCCTGTCTAAAGCCTCTCCGTCCACATTTTTCGCCGACGAAATTAATGCGGTGGCAGTGAGGGTCCAACAGGCTTCACGATTGATTATAGCGGGTCAAGAATCATAGAAGCTCCGCGGGACCGTTCTGCAGGGCTAAGCGCATAGAGTTTCTCACGAAAATGACTGTAGAGGGAAATCTGGCGCTAGTGAGATGCTGGATGCAAGGGAATGTCGGTATATGTGAGCTTCGAACTTGACTCGGATTTGTATCGTTCACGCGCAGCCCGGACACCTCGAAGACACGCCTGGCTTAAACGCGTTCCTTGCGTCACAATGGTTTATTTCCTGCTAAAAGAGCACGTAACAAGTTATTGGTTTTGTCTCATTGCACAGAAACGTGTTTTATTTAACACCGTAAACTTATGCGTCGATGTAAAATTTTACAAAGTGCAAGAAGTAACCGTCGGCCGCTAAACTAAAAAGGCAGACGACAAAGAGAACGTTCCCTATCTTTATGTCGTCTGTTTCTTTCGCCATTTGGTTGCGTTGTCAAAGTAAGTGGACTTTTATTTTAGTATATAGTACGCGCGAATGAGATCAGCCTATAACAGCTTTGTTTTAGCGAAGCTTTATTTGTGCAGTCGTGTCCCCTTTTGAGCCGAAGAACCAGCCATAACAAGCCTCGCAGACACATAGGTACCGTCATTCCCAGCGCTCAAACGACCCCCCTTGATAAATTCGCACGAACGGTGGCGCCAGATTTGCCTCTAGCTATTTTTTGTGAAAAACTCTATCGCTAAGTGAGACATACAAGTAAAACCGAACCTCGCGAACGAACGCGAAGTGACCAAGGCATAGATCGCATGTCTGGCAGCCACTCGCTTATCGTAATTCACCGAGATTGAACGATATCGTGTACTTGAATTTCGTCCCGTCGTGCGCGTCTACAGATCTCACAGCGATTGCTCTATAGCTGCCGCGCTCTCGACGGGATTTTCATTTTGTTACGAAACACGTGACGTGACAACCAACATCGCTGGCTACGCGAGACGGGGACGGCGTCGGATTTCAACGTGCCTTAAAATCTGTGGCCTGCTGCCGACCAGGAAGAAAGGAATGGCTCGAACGCATGCTTACCCGGACCCCTGGTGCGTATCGTTTGATTTCTCCTGGGAAGGTCAGCCATCACTTGCTGCTGCCGTCCTGCGTCAAGAACGTGGATGACTCACACATGACCATCGCTGATGACTTGAGGAAAAAAACAGGATTAGGGGCACTCTGAAAACGCCGAACAGGGTCACAGCGCACCCAAAGGTAGCCACGTGAATTTTCACGAGTTCTCGTCTACCTTGATGCTGTTTAACTTAGTTGTTAAAGACACACAATAGCGGCACCGAATTCTATCCATAAAATAGTCCGAAGGCATCAAACACGAGAGCTTGCGTACTACGATGCACTACTTTGCCCGGTAGGCAGGCCTTTTTGGTTGTTAGACATTCACTCGAATTCTCTGAAGCATTATATGTATGTGAAGAATATGCTTATTTTGTTCCTAAAGTTATATTTGCGCTTTGAAGGGTAAACTCGCGATGCTAGGACATGGCTCATCACTATACAGTTTTTTTTAGACAGTACACATTTTTACAAAAAGAAAAATACGACAGACAGGTATCCGACACCATCTCTACGTCGAAGCGGGAATACTTTGACACAGTTATAGTTACACAGTAGTCAATAATTAACCAAAATTTGTTAATTAACTGTTAATATAGTTGTCTTGAAGGCAGCCATTTATGCGGTTAAGTTGCAGTAAGTTACATTTTGTGGCATACCGAATATTTTCTTCAGAAATCGTGAAAGTTACGTCATTTGAGATGTGCAACATCATATTAAAGGGGATAATGAATCTGACCAAATCTTGGTGCGCATAAAACGTTGCCACTTTTTAAGCCACACCGGAACTTCTCGTGACGTGGAAGGGACAAAGTTATTCGTATTCCTTCATTAATTTTCGATCCAGTATCAGTAGTCCCCTTTCGCACATTTCTAGTAAATTCACAGAAATAAGGGCGACGACGAGACGTACAAATATACGCTTGAACTGAAGTGGGCACTGAAGAATGCTCACTGAAAAGGTGATCTTTACAGGAAGCATCTTGTAGAAAAGATAGATAATCCTCAATATCTAGGCATGCACACAATCAAGACCACCAACAGAGTTCAGAAAAGCTTAACTAAATGTTCAAATTCCGACTCGCCTTTACGACAATCTTATCACGTATAGAGGTGTCGGCTATTTTTTAACAATGTCACGCGAGATAGCATCACACTGTTTCAGACAACTTTCTCAGTGGTCGTTACGTTACGTCTTCAGTGGTTGCGCATGTCTGGCTATCGCAACGATCACTTTTTTTCTAACGCGATGTTTGTGATAAATATAAATCACAAGGGAGCACTTAGTCCTTCTTCATTGCCATCTAAGTTTGTGCTTGTCTGGAAACAATGGGAAGTATCAACTCGCAAAAAGAAAAACAGCAAAAAAGAAACACACCACGCATTGCGTCTCTGTAAACAGACGTTATGATGGACGTACACATGCTTTCAGAATTGGTTTTAGTGTGAGAAGTTTTTTTTTGTCTTTTGAAAACGCTAGTATCTAGCGATTTCAATGGAAGTGCCAGAGCGGGCATTAATAGCGTCACATTTTTTGTACGAATCACTGCACCATCAGTTTGGCTCATTATTCATCGTTTGTGACTGTTATCAAACTATCGTAAGAATCTGTAGAATCTGTAACCTCCAGCTTTGCAAGTAAATGAGATTAACACCACCTTTCACTCCAATTCTTGGCTCTACTAGAAAGCTCGAATAGCAATCTGTTTCCCACTGCCCTTGTGCTAGGAATGGTTTCACACGCGTTCATAAAGTTCCCGCGGTGTTGTTAATCTGGGTCACGTGAATCGTATTTCTTCGATATTTCGCGATTTAACCCCCACACTTCACTGAAATCTATCTGGCATTCCCCGTGCACCTTTATTAACCTCAGAATTGACCCTTGTGCACCAGAATGCACTCTTGTAGAGAGTAGTTTTCAGTACACTTTACGAAAAGCGCATTAGAGGGATCAAAAGTTTGCGCTTCTTTGAACTCGTTTTTTGAAAGGAGATATACATGACGTCGCAGGGGCAGAATGTCGAGACTATTTAGGCCCCAGGACCCACGTACGTAAGCCTGTTTCTGCAGCGTAAGTTTATACTACCTTCCGACTTGGTCCTTGTTTTGTTTCTGAACAACTTTGGTTGTAGCTGAGTGCAGCTAGCTTTTATTCTTTCGAAGGCTTAATACCTTGCTGCGTATCATTTAGTACACCACAAAACAAACAGACAAACAAACAAAAGGGAATTATTTAACTTTTTTTGTGTGAACTTTGTCCTACCACGAGTATGACTGTTTAACGGTCTACGTTAACTTTCTCTGGAGACCATGGTAGTATTGTCGGAGAGTTTCAGAACCCGAAAGAGAGTTACCATGTTAACTTTAAAGACATTCATGTACGTTGCAATCGGGACTCTCCGAAAACGGTAACTCATACCACCGCTAGCTACCCCTTCCCTTTCTTTCTTCTTTTAACGCCTGCAATTGCTTGCGGCTGGTTTCATACATTATACTTTGTGCCTATGGTAGCCATAACAACGAGTTAGCGGTAGACCCAGCACATACGAGCGCGGATGAGGTGCTGGAAAAGACGAAAAAAAAGACCCCTTCCTTTCCCTCCTGACAAGCGCACCGCACACGCTCTTTCCCAACTACAGCCGCTTACCCGCCTTACAAGCGTCTTTGGTGTTCTTGAGGTCGGGTGGCCTTCGGTGAGGTCCCCGGGGCACTTCGATGGGCACCACACGTCTCCGCTTCTTGGGCAGCTTGGCACGCGCTTGCGTGTGCGAGTAGAACATGGCAAAGTTGGACACGATCACGGGCACGGGCAGCGCGATGGTCAGCACGCCGGCCAGCGCGCACAGCGCACCCACGAACATGCCGGCGTAAGTCTTGGGCACCATGTCACCGTAGCCCACTGTGGTCATCGTGACCAGGGCCCACCAGAGGCCGAGCGGTATGCTGTTGAAGTCGTTCTCCGGGTTCGACTGGATTCGCTCGGCGTAGTACACGAGGCTGGCGAATATCACGATGCCCAGCACCAGGAAGAAGACCAGCAGAATGAGCTCGCCCGCGCTGGCCTTGAATGTCTGTATGAGGATTTTGAGGCCCGCCGAGTGGCGGGTGAGCTTGAACAGTCGCATGATGCGGATGATTGAGAAAAACTCTAGTATGTCCGCGTTCTCCAGGTGCGAGGCCAGCTTCTGGAGAGTGAGGTCGATGTAGAAGGACAGCGTGGCCGTGAAGTCTATGATGTTGACCGCGCCGCGCACGAAGTCCAGCTTGCTGGGGCTGGCCACGAAGCGGATGATGATCTCGAAGGTGAACCAGGCGTTGCAGACGCACTCGATGTAGAAGAAGGCGTCGTGCGGGTTCGTCTGGATCTTGTCCAGCGTCCACGCTACGGCGCTCTCCGACGTCGCCACGGTGATGTTCTTGATGGCCGGCACGCGCATGTTTGGGTGGGTCTTGAGGCAGAAGGATAAGATGGAGACGCAGATGAAGAACACGGACATCACGCCGATGATCTTGGCAGCCGTGGAAGAGTACGGCTCGTCGAACAGCGACCAGATTTTGGGCTTGACTCGCTGCCAGCAGGACAGCGTCCCAGCGAGGTACTCCTCCTCCATGCCGAACTTGCGTGCGATCTCTTCCTCACTCGGCTTGTCCGTGTCCAGGTCGAGCCGGTCGAGGACAGCCAGCGTCTCCTGCGTGTCCCTATGCTGCGTGTACGTCATCCAGCAGCAGGGCTCCACCTGCAAAAGCAAAGCGTGCATCGTAAGTCAATCCTGACTCAATCCGATTCATGGAAAGTCATGTTAGAAGGCACAGTCCGCGCTGAACTCTGGATGAATGGATGGAAAAACTTTATTTAGTCAGAAAGCAACTGAGGATGATTCCGCGTTAGATGGCCATCAACCCAAGGTTGGCGGCGACCTGTGTGGCCCACTCCACGACCCTTAACTGGACGACTGGGTCTGAGCTGGTCAACACGGCCTCCCAGTGCTCAAGAGAGGGATCACGCATAATATCCACCGGCGGCGGCACTATGCTACATTCCCAAAGTATGTGATCATATGTTGCCACAGCCTGACACCATTTGCATTGCGGCTTAATCTCCTCCGGGTACATTTTGTTCAACACGTAAGGGTTAGGAAAAGATCGCGTCTGCAGTTTTCTCCAGACGCATTCCTGCGCCTTAGTTAACCGCTTGTGCGGGGGCGGATAAAACCTCCGCTCTAGTTTATAATGATTCGTTATGTCACGAAAGGACACCAGCCCATCTCTCGCGGACCTCCCCGGAACTGGCGGCTCACCTACCCGGCTGACGAAACCTCGAGCATTCAGGTGAGCCGCCTCGTTCTCAGGGTTCCCAGAGTGTGCTGGTACCCAGACAATTTCTATTTCTCTCATTTCTCGTCCCGTGGCCCTATGCAGAAATCGTGCAGTGGTCGCCGATATTCTGCCCCTCGCCAGATTTCGGATGGCTGTCTTTGAATCACTGAAAATCAAATCTGACTGCGAATTAGTTATAGCTAGCGCTATTGCCGCTTCCTCTGCAGTTTCCGAGGAGCGGGTTTTGACCGATCCAGAAGCGATCAAGCGCCCCCGCCTTTCCACCACGACAATCACAAATGCGTCTTTGTCCTTATATTCCGCAACATCTGTATAGACTGCCGCTTTGTACTCGCCGTACTCAACGTGTAAAGCTCTGGCTCTTGCCTGCCTGCGCTGCGTATGGTGAATCGGATGCATAGTTTTGGGCAGAGGTTTTATGTACAGGGCCTTATGTAACTCTCGCCGCACCTGAATTTTAGTGTCCCCAGTGGGAGCCTCTGCTCCAATGCCAATCCTTTCCAATATAATCCTGCCCGCTTTGGTTGTCGAAAGCCTAGCGTGCTGCATCACCAGATGCGCCTCCTATAATTCATCCAGGGTGTTGTGTACCCCTAGTTTTAACAGCCTTTCTGTAGGCGCGTTGTTAGGCAACCCAAGCGCTGCCTTGTAAGTTGTGAACTCTGGAGCTGGGCAGAACTAGTGAAAAAGTTGTTTGTGAACTTGTGAAGTTTGGTCTTATAAGAAATGTGGGCCTCTTCGGCAACACGTGCGCGTTTCAGAAATGATGCAGCTAAAACGAACAATAATTGTTGTGCTTCCGCGTCCCGAAACCGCGATATCAATACAAAGGGGCCATAGGGGAGAGGTGCGGAAATTTCGACCCCCTGGGCGTGCTTTAATTTGCACGTAAATCTTAGCGCACGGCCTATACCATTTAGCCTCCATGGAAATGCGGCCACCGTGGCCGGGATTCGATCCCGCGATCTTCGGGTCAACAGTCGAGCGCCATAACCAATTGAGCACCTCAAAATGGAACGAACTGCCTTTCCATGGTTTGTTTCAAGGATCGACGAACTGCTAACCAATTACTTTTTTTTTCAACTTTGTCTTTGTATTCGTTTATTTGTTGCATACTCTGCCTGCTCCAACTCATGTCAATAGTGTCGGTCAGTAAACGTCACGTAAAACGTCGCCGGCTTCAAACAACGTACCATATCCCAGCGAAACGTGCTCGTTTTTCATTCTACCTTTTTTTTATTCACCACAAAGCAAATCAACAGCACCGACAGTCGGGTAAAAGTAAATGTAGAGCTGATGAAAAATCACGCCACGAATGCCTCTCGTCAGCGAGTCGCGTAAAACATGGAGCACTCCGCGTTTGAAGTTCGTACAAACGATCTCCATCAATAATTTCCTATCCTCCCCCCTCCCCCCGTTCTTCTTGCCCGCTTAAAAAAAGTTTCGCCCTCATTCTAACTGGCATGGCTGAATCGACTCGGCTGCCTTCTCGCAGTTATTTTATTGTTCTCTTTTATGCTTGGCACCCAGCGAAAGCGGACAGCTGCCTTATCCCACTTATAATGCAGGTGCCGATTCGAGAGCACATAACACGCCCGAAATGGACTTCTCGTGTGAAGAATATCGCGAAGCCACACACGCTCAAGCCACGCCACGGCGTAGTCAATCCTGCCTCCTTCCCCGTCATGGCGCTCCATCTAGCGGTTCTTTTGAACAGTGTGAGGGAAAATTGCTTCGATAGGGCGCACCATTATGAGGCCGCTGGAAGAACCTGGGAGGGCGCTTCGAGGAACAAGATTGTAAAGCACTACAACCGTATATGCGCCAGGCCGTCTCGATTCGAATGCGGACGGCGTTGCTGGCCGCGTGTTGAGATGCACAGGCTGCTAGCGGCTCGTTTTCTTCCCGGGAGGCAGGAATTTGCTTTGTATTCTCTTTCCGGAACAGTCTAGTTGAGAGACTACACCATGCGGATAATCAAAAAAGAAAAAGTGCAGGCTGGCATACTTTGTGGCACTAAAGTATGTACAATTTCGCTGGGCCAGTTTCACTCGAGGGGCAACATACATACGACCCCCGTTGCCATATAACGTCCCCCTTTCGGTGTTGTTGGGGCCCACGCTCTTAGGCGTCCATTACAGTGTGCCCGGACCACGCCGTTTGTCTTAGTCGCGGTGTGCTGCGTCGGCTTTTCCTCCAGCTTCTGGCGTTGTTTATACTTGCTGCCGGCCTGTTGAAATACCGCCGAGAGTGGAATGGAAGAAGTTGGGAGGTTTAGATCGAGAAGAGCAGGTATATATCTTTTTTCGAACCATTGCATCATTCATGCTGCCGAGGCGATGCCTGTTTCGCTGTTCAATAGCTTATGACTACTCTTGGTATAGGCGGTTGTGTGCATAGGCGTGCGCGAAAGGGGGGGGGGGGATGGAGAAGAGGCAGCCATCTTTTACTTCTAGCAGTCAGATGGGGGTGCCAAGTAAAGGCAGGCTTATGTTTTTGATCATGACAGCCCGAGGACCCCTTACGTTGCATTCTGATAAATGGTCGTTTCCTACCGTTACCCCGGGAATAATAATATCATCTGGGGTTGAACGTCTCAAAACCACGATATGAGTATGAGGAATGTCGTAGCGGAGGGCTCCGGAAATCGCCACCATCTGGGGTTGTTTTACATGCTCTGATGTCGCACAGAACACGGGCCTCTACCATTTAGCTCCCATTAAAACGCGACTGTAGCGGACGTAATCGAACCTACGACCTTCGGGTCGGCAGACGAGAACCGTAATCACTACACCACCGTGGCGGACAGTTGCCCCTGGAAAGTCGGAGGCAAAATACAGGCTGCTCTGAGAAGAGATAGGTATATATATATACATAGAGAGAGAGATGGCAAACGGAACCTTGTGAACCTGCTGACGTAATAGGTGAGAGGCTTACCTTTTCATTTTTACATCATTGCAATGTTTTTTTTTTTCTTTAGTACTCGACCAAAGTGGAAGGCGGGGGGGGGGGGGTAGTTGCGGTGAGACTAGTCCCTGCCCTCTCTCTCTCATGTAGAGTTCTGCATGTATGAGACCACCAGGGGTTAGCACAGCGGGGCGTAGTTCTGCAGCTGGAAGCATTCGAGACAGCGAAGCTGCACGAAGAACCTTTCGCTACAAAGATGGCAGGCGCAGAATGACTATAGAGGCGGGCTTTTTTTGCTGCGTTTTCTCGTCGCAGTTTGGTTGCTAGGTTGGGTCTCATATTTCATCCTCGCAACATGCCAGGACGGTGAGCAAGGTCGTCACTCTACCATTAATATACACCAGTGAAAGACCTGTCTTCCGCTCTTTGAAACCCGCGATGACACCATCTATTCAGCAAGTGAATGCTAGGGTCTTCCGTGTTTTCAAGGTCTCCTTCGACGTTAGCGCTTATCGTAGCGTATGTATTGGCGCTCTTTCTTGAAATGCATTGGCTGAAAAGCCAAGGCTCGCTTGTTTATGGGCCTTTTAGGCAGTGATTAATCGCAAGCGATAAATCTGGCTTCGACTGTGCGTTTACCAAAGCACATAGAACAGACACACAAATGCACGATCACACACTGAACATCCTATGTCATGTTGGATACTGTAGATGATAATGTGTATTAAGCTCATTTGAAAAGCTTGTATTCTGTTCAACGTCACTTTCTTTGTGTCACGTTCTTGTTACATTTCTGCTTATTAAAGAGCTTAAGCATAGCGCTACCATCTTAACGCTTACTGGCCGTAATGGCTTCCTCGACTGCATTCGAGCGGAGTCTGGGTTGAGGAGCCAGCTTCTGCCGATTGACTTGATTACGCGACAAAATTGCAACTAGAATGGAGTGTATTAGTGACTAGAATAAAAGATAATGGGATTCACCGGTATACTCATTGCTGTCAGTTGTTTGAAACAAAACGATGTTAATTTTTAAAATAGGTAATGTAGGAAGCCTTATCTCTCGCTGAGAACAAAGTATAAGAGGTGCTTCGTTATTACTATAGACATAAGTTCTGCCCTTATCGGCGCTTCTAGACCTAGAGAGATGGGTATCGTGGTTGTAATGTGTGTTGATTTGCCATGTTGCTGCATTGACATTTAGGTCACGCGAATGTTCGTTCGGCTGCTCTCATGTATATAGCGATGGTGGTTAAAAAACATAATGAGTTAAACTGCCACGCAAGGGAAGAGGAGTAGCCGGCACAGGCATCAGCTTTTCCTTTAAATGACCATGATTGACTTTTCTAAATGAGCATCAAATCAACTTAATATCGGAGTTTATCGCCTCGCGAACTGATTGCCGCAAATATCTTTTTTTAATCCACCAAGAACGAGCGGAGTTACAGGGGCTTGTCGCGTGATTCAAGTACTTTCCCTCTACCCTCGTACCGACTAGCACAACATAAATCAAGAGCGCCATTTGAATTAGACGCGCTCCTCACCGCGTGGTGACGCCACGTACTGGCCCCCAAGGAGGTTATACTAAAAAATAACCTCCTTGCTGGCCCTGCACTCCGTAGTCTACTAACACTACACAGTGAACCGAACTTGCACACAGGAATCACAACCAGAGCGCTCGCGTTTCATCACGCACACTCAAGGTCATGAGGCACGCAAATTTTACTTCCATTCCCCTGATGCCCCTTCGTGGGTAGCTCCCGTTGTGGAAGCTTCGCGGAAGCTTCCGCAATGGACTGAGCACATGTATCCATGGAAAAAGAGGGCGCCTGCCAAAATGGCGAATTCGTGCTCTCCTTCTTCACTCTCTGAGACGAGCACGATTGAAAGATTTGGCTGAAATCGTTGTAGCAGCGTCTTCTATAAGCAGTACTTGTTTTCTCGCCAAGCCCGAAGGGTAGTTCATGACCCAAGTACAATTACCATTCGACAAAAGCCCTACGCCTTCCTTATAGCCTGGAGCAAGCATTTTGACAACGGGACGTTTGACAAGAGAATGGGCAAGAGAAAGGGCAGGGCACTTTGAAAGCCCACGATGCCCGTTGCCGAAACGCCGGCTTCAGTTTGAAGCTTGGCGTGTTTCGAAATTTGACGATCTCGCCTCAAGGTGCTTGCAGTTCCATGAGAAGCTATAGCACTCGCGGACGTACCTGTGTTCTTCTTGCCTGTGAGCGCAGAAGTGGATCAGAAGAAAGCGAAAAAGACAAAAAAGGACGTTGAACCACTCCTGCGCTCCCCCTTGCAAGATGCCGAACCAAGTGGACCGACAACTCACAATCGCGAGACGTACCTGATTTGCGTCGAGTCCCCAGAACTCGAGCTCCTCTTCGAAGAGCGGTCCGCACACGTCGGTAGGGTAGTGCAGCTTGCCAGTGCGGTAGTAGTTGAGTATCTGCCCGAAGACGCCCGGGTGGCGGTCGAAGAAGTACTCGTTCAGCACCGGGTCGTAGTTGGCCAGGGCCTCGGTGAGCCGGGAGAGCCGCGTCGCGGGTATCTTCTTGAGGGTCGCCTTGTACGTTTCGTGCCTGATGCCGCCCACGTTGAGTACGACGCGGTTCTCGGCGTCCAGGTTCATGCTGCTCGTGACTGGCTGCTGCTACTACGCTGCCGCGGGCCGCACACCGCCCGACCCGATGCCCATCACGCCTGCGTGAAGAAAGGCCACGTCACGCGCAGCGTAGGACAAGCCAGCACCACCAAGTCGTGCGACTCCTGCGTTACATACCAAATAATATCTCTGTTATAAGTATTCATCATATGTTTACTGAAGGGTCTCCTCGATAGGGTGGAGTAATAGTATCCGTAATATTAACGAACACACAACACAGACGGCTGTGTTGTGTGAACACACAACACAGAAGGACACAGGAGGAGGAGGAATAAACTTTATTACAAGAAACCAGCAGGTTAAGGTGGCCGAGCCTAGGCCTCCCATGAGGACACAGGACAGCTGTTAGATTTTAACTGGCCTGCGCCGTCTTCTGTATAGTCTGTATAGTGAGTGTGCTAACAATATGGATTCAGTAAGGCAGTGCCAACTAGCCAAGCTAAATCCACTAATTGAGTATCGGAAGCAAGCGTGACATCGAGATCACGTGGCGGCCATCACGCGCGAAGCATGGAATCGCTGCACGGCACAGAAAACGGTCGCAATGCGCCTTTCCCACAAATCGACTGCGCATGCGCCCTTACTTAGCGGAAAAGTCGCGAAGCGCCTCCTGGTCTCAGAGGCCATTGCTCTAGCATTACCGGTTCTCCCGATTCCCACCAAAACCCTACGAAAAACGCCAGACGGCAGCACAAGAAAAAGCGGACTGCGGACATAATAATATACCTCCTTTCTTTTCAGAAGCCCTCAATTCGAGCTGTACGCGAGGTTTCGCGTGCACGAGTGACAGGTGACATTGAGTGATAACCTAATGCGGAACGCTCAGCCACACCACTATAAATAAACCACACAGCAACGACAGACGGAAAGAGATAAATATGCCTGAAAGACGGATAAGACAGTATTTTGCTGACCCTGAAAAGGAGCACGGGGTTCTCTTGCTCTTTTCCAACGCCATAAATGAAGTCCACATGTAGGCGTTGTCTAAAAAAAAAAAAAAAGACGTGGTAGAATAGACTTCTTTGTGGGAAAGACGCAATTATGTCACAGGCGCGCTTGGTGGTCGGAATTTTAGGAGCCCTTCAATACGGCGTCTCTCGTAATCATATCAAGGTTTCGAGGCGTTAAATCTCAGATAATATTATATTTATTAAAAGCTACGTGCTAGTGAAGCAAGATATATTAGTCATATATTCTGCTTCGAGAAATATGTCCTCAGCGACGCCGTGAAGTACATTGTTTTTCATTTATCACTTTCGATTTCAGAGTATTCTAATGGAAGGGTCAATTGAATATGATTATCTCTTTATTGAATCAGGCTACAACCAAAGCTAGTTAATTGAGCGGGAACTGGATGCTCGCGATGTTTTCTCGAAACATATTTCCACATATGTGCGTGTAAGTTTATAATTACGGAGGTTCATTTTGTACGTTCATAGTGATTGATGTACTGCAGTGCTGCGTGTAACTGTAAAACTAGCAGAACGTGCTTGTGTTTAAGGCAAATGTCAGACTCTGTCTGTAGATAACATGGTGCTGGGTTGCATGCGCGTGGAGGCTTTTGTAACGCTAACTTTTCCTTACTAAATCGAACAGTAAAGGACTGGATGTAAGGGTGGCTTTTAACGGCGACAAGAACTTATGTCCGGACACCCTCTGTTAACAACATCGTTAAGGCAAAAAAAAAAAGTTAAGCGAAGCCAGCCTGAAACGCTAAAAAAAAACAACACTCTATGCAGAGACACTTGATGCATACTAATTATGCTGATAAAATGTCAGTCCTCAAATTTATATGAAGCGACGCATTCACGAAGTGGCTAATTAAACGTGATACAAAGACAAAGATACGTGATACAAAGACAAACAAAGAGTTGAATTTGTGAATCACAATTTCAGCACGTCATTTTTTTTTCTGGTTTCACGAAAACGCAGCGATAGAAGCCGAGCACGCTTCGTACCACTCTCGTTGCTTTGAAGCGACCCAGTGTGCACTCTCGTGGAATGTTTATGTATCGCACGAGCCCGAACTTCCATGCATTCGATGTTTATGCATGCATTCAGCGTCGGCCATAGATATATGGAGAAAGGCAAACAGCCGTTGATGCAGGATGACGGTCTACGGAGAAATGTACTGAGAGCAAACGCACTGTTTGATGTTTGTCGATCGTAAAATGGGGAGGGGATTCGCAGTGCAGGAAATTAAGTGCGACGTATTCGGAAATACACTCGGGACTTCGATGCGCGTTCTGCCGCAGTGGCATATATCTCTCTCTGGTGGATTGCCTGAGAACACCTAGCGTAAGGAATCGAAGAAAATTAAAAAAAAAATTATCAGCTCTGCTTCACAGTCACCGGTGAAAGAGCAAAGCTTGTGGTGTTCCAATCATCACGCTAGCACATTTATTTCTTTAGCAAATGTTTCAGATATGTTGTATCACTAATATTTAATAAGCACTCTCTGTTAAGCTTTGAGGTGGTAGCCACCAACTTTTAAAACCACAACAAAGTATCATATGACAGTGATGTGACTATGGGAACTCGCACGCCATTTTTTTAGGCCAAGTGTTGCCTTATTTTTAGTTAAAGTTGTGTGCAGTGGGATTTAACCAATTTCTGTGACACGTACAGGTTTATGACTATGATAGTTTTGAGGTAGGTCGCACAGATTTCCGCGTCACATACCCATTTGCTAGGCATGTTGCCTTCGTTTTCACTGAACCAGCAATGAGTGGTGGAATTTAGCCAATGTCTACGTTGCATACCCGCTTGTGATGCCCACAAGCATTACCACGTATCCCGGAAGCGAAAGACTCTACCAAGAAGAGTTTTGTTTAAAAAAAAACGAAAAAAACGTCAGGCCTGCGTGGAACGTGCAGCACTGTCACAGCGAAAGCTCGAAGAGTGGCCTTTCAGAGCCTTTCCCTAACACTCTTCGTGCAACTGTTACGAGCACACTTGCTGGGTTCCCACTAGGCCATAAATAATCATAATTGTTGTGTTGTAGGCTGGCATTCACTGTGCTAACCTTCATCATTCTTCAGAGAAGTGTGGTATCCGCTACGAACTTGCTAGGAATGTTGTGCAATATATTTATGCAGTGGCTGATGACGATGAAGAATTATGCCTGAATTGGGTGTGTGCCACAGCTAATAGGTGAACAAGAGTTTAAACTGCATGGGTTGAATCAGCGGATGACCCACTCATTATGTAATTCACATTCCATGACGCCTGGTTGTTCCTTTGATGTGTGAAAATCCATACTAGCGCGATGCCTTTCCAGACATCAACCCTGCCTAAAATTAGTTGTGAGAGGAGTTTCAAGCGCCAACGTGCCTCAATTATAGCATACGGGGCTGACACGCTGCGGACCCGGGTTCAAATCCTATTGTCTCCATGAAGTCCGTTTTTATTTACTGAGTGAGTCGTATATCTTGTGTCCAGAAATTTATATTGCTCATGTGCCACAGAAAAAAATGTGTAACGACTCCTATCCGCCACTCGTCCTGAAGAAGAAAACTGAAGAAGAAGACACGGGAGCGGCAAACATTAGATTTCTCAATAGACGTAACCAATAGTCCAGAAAGAATTTTAATGAATCGTCAGAACTAACAGTGTACTGATCGTTTTTATTTTGTAGGTAAAATATGTGATAGCATGCAAGCATTTTATATATACTAATGAAATGTGTATAATAAATGTAAAATAAGTCACAAATGTGTACATACGCATTTGCGTATGCTACTGATGTGTAAATGTATGTACTATGTCACGGATACAGACTGTATAAGTTATGAGGAGGTCAAGACTTTATCAAGCTTTTACTCTTTACCTCCCACAGGGAAATTGTAGTTTTTTTCCTGCAAAAATAAGCAATGTTCAAGGTAGATGAGTACCAGGATCATCTATTTCAGCTTTGCTGATTCAACGTCTGTTCTGAAAGCACGGACTGTGATTTTTTTAGGGGCGAAGCTTCTTACGCCGTGGGTCGTATGTCCCGTGTTGTCGTAGTCGTTGTAGTAGCCAGTTTCATTGCATTGCGTGCCAATAAAAACGGTGTCACAGCGTGTCTACGGGGTGAATGATAATGAGTGAAGTGAAGCGTCCGTCAGTCCGTTCGTGCGTCCGTCCACTTCGCCCCACTCGTCATCATTCACCTTGTAGATATGCTGCGATTTTTTCCCCCAGAGCCTGACTTTTAAAACAAAATAATATTTTAGGACTCTTGAGCAGTTGTCTTCAATAGCAAAGCATGCTAGCATGGTTTGGCTTCCTGCGCAACTACTGTGCACGTAACGTTGCACGCTTCGAAAAATCCTAGAATGCCTACTGAAAATATCTCATCACGGTAACCCAACCTTCAGTAATGCCGTAATTATTCCAAGGATGCACTTCGTTTTTAAAAAAAAAGCAACTATCTCTTCCTTTACTATTACGCACTGTTTAAAGAGTATACTTGAATTAAGCAAGGCACACTAAAAACGTAAATAAATAAAATGAAACGCTATGATTGGAAGGAAAAGGATATAAAATGAAATTTGAAACTCCAGTCCTGAACCGTGCATCGCCTTTTCGAATGAATGAAAAAGTTTTCGCAGTCGCAAATAAATTTGTGTAAAAGGCAATAGTTTAGACTGCTGTGTTCTTTCAAAGGTGTACTAATTTTGTGTTTCTATTACAAGGGATCCATGCTAACGATTCAATGGGCTGGGCAGTCCCGATCAGCAAAACTGAAGCAGCGATCAAATAACGGGAACGGAAGTGCTCGTCAAGGATTACTTAAACGTAATGAAGAATAAATTACGAACAGTCATTACGAAAACCTAAATATTGAATACCTCGCACGCGTACTTGTCCTTCAAGGCCGTAGGGCAATCGTTATATATATATATATATATATATATATATATATATATATATATATATATATATATATATATATATATATATATATATATATATATATATATATATATATATATATATATATATATATATATATATGATGAATAAATGGAGAACCCAGTTTGTG